ATTTTATTTTGTCGTTGTCTTTGTCGTTTGTTTACTAGCGCTTAGAACAGATTTGTATTTGCGCTTTATAAATAAATATTATTATTATTATTATTATTATTGATCCTCGCAGTTTATGAAGCAACTTATTCAGGTGCAAATTGAAAAAATTTTGAGTCTTGAACGGGATTTGAACCTTGAATCGCCAGGGCACGGGTTCAAATCCCTTTCAATTTGCAGCTGCATAAGTTGCTTCATATACTTCGAGGATCAGCTCAATTTGATACATTATACAACCACAGTACAAATATATATTTCATATACATTCTCATACACATTAATCGGACTTACAAAATACCGAAACTTAGTGTCCATGTTTGAAACTTAAGGCTAATTCTTTTATATTGTGTTTGTTAATACAGTATCTTGGTCTGACAAAACTATACTCGCGAAATGTTTTTGAATACTCGGAGAAAAAGAACATTTATTTTCTCACTCAAACTCTTCTAAGTTCTTAGAAAACGTGCCGAAAATGCACGCATGTGCTATTGTAAATGTCACCGCACAAAAACGTTTGCGCATGTGTGCATTTCAGCACGTTTTCTAAGAATTTAGGCCCCGTCCACACGTATCCGGAAATTTTTGTATCCGCAAATTATTTTTTGTGGATACGAAAATGTTTGCGTCCACACGCAGCGTATTCGAATCGTTTTCACCGTCCACACGTATCCGTTTTCGTAAAATTTGCGTATACGGATACAAAATTTTGCGGACACGTGTGGACGCATCCCGTATCCGCAAAAAAAATTTGCGGATACAAAAATKTCCGGATACGTGTGGACGGGGCCTTAGAAGAGTTTGAGCAACCTCGTTCCTAGGGCCCTCTCGGCCCGACTCCAAAATAAAATGGCGGTCTTTTTGGAGTCGGGCCTGGGATGGCCCTGGGAACGACTTTGGAGTTTGAGTGAGAAAATAAATGTTCGTTTTCTCCGAGTATACAGAGAATTTCAAGACTGGAGTAATACAAATGTATAAGTGATTTTGGTTCGATAAAACGTACTTACTGACCTCGTGCAATGTTTTCCCACAGAACCTTCACGTATTGATCCCTGTCAGGTCTAGACTGTTCGTGCCAGAAACCCAATGCGTGAAGTAGTTCGTGCATGATTATCCCTTTGCGAGCGCAGCCTTGGCCAATTGAGACGTCTTGTCCTCCTCTTTTCCAGTAGATTTTACCGACGCTTGAATAACACCTAATTATAATTGCAATTGAAAATACAGAATTTTTTTTTTTTTTTTTTTTAGCTTTTGCTTTTTGAAGATTGATTACTTTATTTTTATAAACGTAGCCTAAATTCCCATGATTTTTTACGTACTCAGATTTTTAAGAAATTCCAAGAGTTTTCAAGACCTGATAAAAATGTCCAAAATAACATGATTTTTAAAATATACCATGCAAACTCCGTGACACTGCTGGACCCTCCATTTGTGAGATCTTCAGTGTGAAGCCTATCATGTTCTTCAAGCAAGGTAGGGAGAAACCGCCGTGTGTCTAGTGTCTCGAAAAATAAATCTCTGCTATACTATGATTTGTGATTTTTGATTATTTTAAAGATTTGTTGGGAACAGAAACCCCCGGGGGGGGGGGGGGTACTTTTGCCCGTTTAGGGTATGGATGTGCCAGAGTAAAAATCGCTGATATTCATACCCTGTTCCAGAGCAAGATCGCTGAAAAACCCTGTTCCAGAGAGGAGAGAGCGTGATTTTATATACCCTGTTTCAGAGCGAGCGCAGTTTTATATACCCTGTTCCAGAGTAGGAACGCTGAAAACCATACCCTGTTTGGCGGCACGTACACGTATAGCAAATATAGGGGAGTACCTCTCCCCCACCCTCGGGACAGAAACCTGGAGAAAAGCTAGCCAAAAACTATTGATAATTCAAATGTCTGATATAATTTATAGTTTTTTAAATAAAAAGATATAATTGATTACATTGTGTGAACCTTGCCAATAGTCTATGCTAAAATCACTCAATAAGAACTGTTTATCTTACCCTGATTTCTTCACAAACTTGATCCAATTTTTTTCATTTTTACGAGGGACAAATTTGACACAAGTATGCTTGTGGAACTCTGCAATGGCTTGTTGAATATGTGGACCAGCATCAGTGGCTGAGTGATAATAATCAATCATTAATAAATACATGGATGAGTGGATGGATGCATGGATGCATGGATGCATGGATGCATGGATGAGCCAACGAACGCGATCGAGCGAATGAATAAATGGATGGATACATGGATAAATGAATACATGAGCAACATGACTGAATTAGTAGATGTATGAATGGAATAATCAATAATTAGTGATTGATGAGATCGAGCGAACGAATGAAAATGAAAAATAAACACGAAAAGACACAAATGGTTTCTTGTGTATTTGTCTTTGTATGATGAATGTTCTGGTTGAGTGATAGCAACTATTAGTATTTTACTATTAGTATTTAGTTCGAATTTATTTCACGGTTTAATTGCATCCGCTCTATAAATAAAGTTTTGAAATCACTAATAATTTTTCGTCTGAAGAGAAATAGCAGTTTTGAATTAAGCGTTATATGGGATCACTTTTTACTAACGTACGACTTCTCAAGGACTGATCGATGACATAAGGAACAACTTTGGTCTTCCAAATCTTTGATCGATCTCTTCGAGCGTTTCTTTTTTGTTCTTGTGGTTCATCAACATCTCGGTTCTTCTCATCCAGAACTATATCACCTTCAAATAGGATCTCATCCACCTCTGTAAAATATAATAAGATGCATGAAGTTTCAAAACGGTCCAAAGTGAAGTGGTTAAGCGGTAGAAAAAATGTTGGTAGTTAACCGCTACAGAGTGGACGGAGAGCCTAAGGGGTTTCATTGGCCACTTGTGGAAAACCCGGACAAAAACCTTCAAAGCACATGATCAACAAACAACTTTACTCACGTACGACACGGAGCTCAGTTTATTCTCACGAGAAAAAAAACTTTTGGCACCCTCGTTAATTTATTCTCAATCACTTGAATGAGAGGCGAGGCGCGGGAAAAACTGTTCTTCCATTCAACCACGTGAGTAAGGCCGATTGGTGAAATTTGTAGCACATTGTGTTTGGGAAAAATAATTTGGATTGTAGTTGTTTTTTTGTGCATGTTGCTTTTGTTTTATTTGACACTTGGAATGCATGAAATCCGTCAAACCTTGAAAATCTGTTAAATTTTTTCAACTATTCAAATGCAATGCGATTGTACAATCACGCGTATCTTTTCTGCGCACGCACCATCGCCCAAACGATAAAAGAGGCGTCTGGAAATTTTTCGCTAGATGTCCACTAAATGACGTCCAGTTTTACTTCAATACAAGATGAACAAATAGTTGTATAAAGCATGGATACCTAATGCTGTAAAGTGAGCGCAGGGTTTGAGCAGGCTCAGCTAGGTCACCAAATTTACTCGTTTAAGCGCCGCCCTAAAATAAGTGCTTCACCTAAGATCAAAAATGTTATTAAGCGTCGCCCTCGAATAAACTCCAACCCCGAATTAACGCCGAAATTGAAACCCCCAAAAACATTTTTAAGATTAGGATAGACCCGTTTAAAATTAAAGCTGAGATTTGTGAGTTTTATCTCTGTTGATGGGTTGCAAACATTTCCATGAGAGTCAATAGACAAAATATGGCGACCATTTTTGTGCCGTTAACAATGGATCCTAATTAAAAATTGATTTTTTAAAAATCGTTTGTTAATAGGCAACAACGCCCCCTCCCCTCCCCCGAGAGGCCGCGATGACGTAACGTCATGCAATCGAAGGTCAAGGTAGGGGCTTGTTAAAAACGTGCTCCTTACCCCCCCTCCACTTCCGCCGTCGCTGCTTACTAGAAATATGGAAGAAGTATGCAATTAGTGGTTGCTAGATAATTATGCAAGTGTGGTAAAGAAATTGAAAAATTGAAAAATAGCATTTCAATGTGCAATGAGCAAAAGTATCATTTAAATAATTACGCCTTGATTAATTTATCTATCTGGATCTTGGTTGCTGCTAGTGGTTTGAAAAATAGTATTAGTTGGTCAACAATCCTTGGAAGAGGGGGGAGTCTCAATTGTGAGACAGGCTGGACAAAAACGGTTAACGATTGGAATTGTTCATCAAACAGTTACCAATCTGTTGTACCATAAGTCACGTCTCTCTGAAATAAATGGCCTTTTCAATCAATATCATTCAAGTTATACTGATTCAGTTGTAGCCCTAATGTAAATAGGACAATTAGAACAAATAAGCCATCCTCTAATGTCTGTCTTCCGCTTTTCAACAGAAATATTTGTCTAAAGAAATAACAAATAAAACAGTTTGATTGGAAATATTTATCAAACACTACCGAAATAACCTCTGTCGTACCATAAGCCAGATCTCACTGAAATTAAGTTTTCTTCCCATTTTCGACAAAGGTATTGTGTCTATGTCTATAAAAAAATAAATAATAAAACAGATGAGTTTTCACAGGCATATCCAAACCTTATGTTTTTACTTTTTGCCCCCTTTTAAAGTATTTTAATGTATTTCTTTAATGTATAACAAGAAAAGGGATTTCGAGAAAATGCTAAAAAATATAAGGCTTTCTGACTTCAAGTTGAGATTATAGTTCAAGTTTATTTAACATTTTAGATGACACATACAGGGTTTGTATTAAACTTTCTTGTGAGATGGAATCTTTGAAAGGCAATATACCATCTTTATATTGCGACTCACATCAACCAAGGTCACCCAAACAAATTTCAAATCCAAATCAAAAATTACAATTTTAACATTGCATAACAGATAAATTAGTGAATTCTGGTAAACTGTTTCTTGTTCATTCCCGTATCATACACACACTCGTATAAAGTAAAATATATGATTTTAAAGAGGAAAATGTGAAAATTTGTATAGATGCTGTTGTTTAAATACTCAATCGTGATTGGCTAATTTGTATGAAAATTTGTCTGGGTGGCCTTGGTTGGTAAGTCGCACAGTAAGTATACCGCATGAATTGCCATAATGTAGCCTGCTTATTCTATTTCTAATGGTGACAGTATTAGTGACATCACATTTCCTACTTAAAAGGCATCCTATTCCGATCTAAAAGGAAACTACGTTGCCCGGCTGTCAATATATTAAATTTGGTAGCATTTTACTCGGTCAAAGATGTTTACTTGGTCAAAGATTTAAGGTCTCCGACCAAGTTTAGATTCACGAGGAGTGATTAGTTTATTTAATGCCCCATGCATTATGCGGCCATGCGCGGGTAAAGAGGATGGTACCACGGGCGAACCTCCTTCGTCGGCGTTGACGCGCACACCTTATACTGCGGATAGAGTGATGTTGAATTATCTTTTCATTTAAGGAAGAAAAAACAGGACCATACTTCCAGACATCGATTGCTGAACCGTCGTATGGCAGCGCGAAGCATTTACGGCTATGCTGGAGATTTCGGCCCCAACACCGCTATCCGGGATTTACAGACTGCTCAGGAAGCTCGGCCGAAGCCTAAGGGAGAGGTTAGTCGGCCCCTAGACCATAGATGATTAACCCCTTGCTATGAACAGCAGACCAACCAATCGCTTCTGTCGATAATGACTAAGAGTCCAACGGCACTCTTTTCCATGTGGGATGCATTTGATGCGTTTTGGCCGCGACACGTAAATACATGCAAACTTGCTGGGTGAGGATCAAAATCATGGCATTATTTCAGAAACAAAAAGATTTTCTAGCTATTTTCAAGTGTTACCTTTAAAGATCCCATCAGTCAGGGTTTTTTGAATTTTGCATAATGAAAATACATCATACTAGAAGTAAAACGATTAAATAAAAAATGGGGGTCACCGACTTCGTTTAGCCGTCAGATGCCGAGGACGTCCACCCTTTCTGCTTCGATAAAAACGCGCGAGCATCGCAAATGAGTTGGAAAGCTGTCAAAAAGAAGCCAGATTTTTGCAATCAATATCAAACCACTCAGGTATTAGTTAATGGACAGAAAGAATCAGTCAATAGGATTTTAGCTCCCAAAAATGTTTGGCCAAAATCATTCCAAAATGGAAACTTTCCATGACCGCGCGGTGGAAACAAATCACCAACACCCAGCTCGCGCATTGCAGTAGTAGACCTTGATAATAGTAGTGACTTTAACATTTGCAAAATCTACGACGGCAACGTCAACCGTCAACAACTTCACCTTATAGGCCGATCTTTGTTTAAAAGTAATTTGTTCAATATTTTGGGATTAAAATTGTTTTGAAAGCGGTATGATTTTACAAAGAATGTATGGTCGTGTAGCAAGACTTGCCACACAACCATACATTTTTTTGTAATTTATAGTGTTTTCAAAAAACATTTACTCCTAAAATATTGAACATGTTACTCTCAAATTTTCAGTAGTTACTAAATAAGACATTCTCTTTCGATTCCTGGAGTCGGTTTGCTTGTAGCTTGAAATTTTTTTAATGCTAATGAGGAAAAAACGTAAACAAAGATCGGCCTATAAGGTCTGGCATCCAGCGTTTCATTGGCTTTAAAAAGTTTATATTAGCTGTCAACAATCAAAAGTAAAAACACTTGGTAAATTAGAAATGGGAATCACAAGCAGAATTGCACCAGATTTACACAAAGAGTGATTCGTTTATTTTAATGCCCCCTTGGCCTATGGGGCCATGCGCGGGTACTGAGGATGGTACCACGGGCGAACTTCAAACTTCATTTAGTCCCTTTTATACGGGCGATTTTTTCGGCGATTTCCACTGCGATTCTAGCAGAAAAAATCGCCGAAAAATCGCACTAAATTCAAACATGTTCAAAATAGTGGCGATTCATCTGCGACGTGAATTTATCATATCGCCTCGAAATCGCCGGTAGTTTACACGAGCGATTTATGATCGCACGTGAATAGCCGCAAGAATTGCAGTCGACTTTAGTCGGCTTAGAAGCGCACACCTTATAGTGCGGATATCAACGAGGGAATTCAAAGAACTTAAGCTCGTCCTGAACCACGCACCATCTACACTGTAGTTCTTACACGTTCGATTGGTGGCAGCGAAAATCTACATTTATCGAGCAGAGATTGGGCTCAATATTTAAAATTAAAAATCACAGGAATCGTAAGATTAAAACTGAACTAACACGAGTATTCCACCTTATTCAAAGAGAATATGATCTTAGAATATCTCTGCATTCAGTTCTTATCTACTTAAAATGTTCAATCTTTATTTGCTAATTTGATATTTTCTAAAGGTGTTTGTATTTCTTTGGTCTCATCGTTTTCTTCCTCTTCCTCATCATCTTCCTCCTCCTCCTCCTCCTCCTCCTCTTCTTCGTCTTCCTCATCATCGTAATCATCTTCGTCGTTGCCATAGGAATAGCCCGCAGATGCCCCGCCAAAGCTATATCCTCCAAATGAAAAACCCCCACTGTATTCCTCGTCGTCATCGTCATCAAATTTCTGACGGCCATARGTATGGGATCGAGCTGAGGAAAACGAATAATAGCAGACATATGACCTCGATGTATTGAATCCCCTGAATGGATTACCGTTACTTGACATGAACAAGTCATGGACGAGTACAGTGTGCAATGAAGGTATATTGCAGTATGAATGACAATCACCTGACATAGTGACTTACTGGACATGAACAAGTCATGGACGAGTACAGTGTGCAATGAAGGTATATTGCGGTATGAATGACAATCACCTGACAGAGTGACTTACTGGACATGAACAAGTCATGGACGAGTACAGTGTGCAATGAAGGTATATTGCGGTATGAATGACAATCACCTGACATAGTGTCTTACTTGACATGAACAAGTCATGGACGAGTACAGTGTGCAATGGAGGTATATTGTGGTATGAATGACAATCACCTGACATAGTGACTTACTGGATATGAACAAGTCATGGACGAGTACAGTGCGCAATGAAGGTATATTGCGGTATGAATGACAATCACCTGACAGAGTGACTTACTTGACATGCACAAGTCATGGACGAGTACAGTGTGCAATGAAGGTATATTGTGGTATGAATGACAATCACCTGACATAGTGACTTACTTGACATGAACAAGTCATGGACGAGTACAGTGTGCAATGAAGGTATATTGCGGTATGAATGACAATCACCTGACAGAGTGACTTACTTGACATGAACAAGTCATGGACGAGTACAGTGTGCAATGAAGGTATATTGCAGTACGAATGACAATCACCTGACAGAGTGACTTACTGGACATGAACAAGTCATGGATGAGTGCAGTGTGCAATGGAAAGAAAGGTATGACAAACACCCGACAGAGTGACTTACTTGACATGCTCAAGTCTTTAGTCTCCTTCGTTTCGTTTCCACATTTTGGACAAGGGAATGCTTGTCCACGTGTGTATTTTACTCCTTTTCTTCGCACGTGGTCATCACAGAAACACACCTACAGAAAAAGGTATTAATTAGTTACCTTGTACAGTACTATGCTCCGTACACTGCCGCGCTTAGAGTGGTTTTTTCTTGGCGCGTGAAACAAAGTTGTATACAGTCAATTCAAAAAACGTTGTCGTCGACCAACTCAAGCCTACGCGACTTGACCGAAAGGAACTCTGGGTAGCATTGTAGCCGGGTTGACTCCATAATAGACCTATCCCGAATTCGCTTGATTAGTTGTGCCTGGCTTACAGCACGAACCTTCGTAGGCGAAGGGGAAGTGTTGAAGGAGACGTTTTTTTAATGCCTTCATATTTTCGGAATTGCGAACTGAATCATAACTACTTTATTTTTCTTTCCCTAAACCCAAAGACATGCATTTGATGGATTGTTTCTCGCCATTATCTTATTACTAGCGGGAACAATTAATTCAGAACGAATATTTAACCGCTTCAGTGATTTTTACCCATATGCCATTCGGTCCAGTCGCGTAGGCTTGAGCCGGTCGACGACAACGTTTTTTGAATTGACTGTAATCAGTGACTTACAGTCCAAGTAAAACGAAAGAAAACGATGGAATTAGTGTCTACTACTGAGTATCCGCTTAATATTTTTTCACGGACCAAGCATAATCACTTTATGCATTTAGTCTTTATAGGAAATGGGTAAAAATGAAAGCGTCTACAAGGAATTGAGTTAGTATTACGGTGTTTTTGCAGCTTGGATAGTTATTAAGGGTTTAATTTGTGTTTCTTCAAGCTTATTTTGCTCGGGAAAAAATCAGTTGTTCGCGGATGCAGCAACTCCTTTCTCTGTGAACCAACTGTTAGTTCGTTTAGCCATTTGACTGGAATATCCAAGCTGAAGCCCATTTTAAACGAAGATAGTTACCTTACAGCGAAGACATGAATATTGTCCTAATTTATTGCAAGACCCACCTGAAAACACAGAAAATAATTCAAACTCTTTAAACTTGTGGTGCACAATAATTTCCGAATGCAAATTAGGAGCAAGAGGCACAATTTCTCTACCATTACTAAAATGCTTGATGAATTTCCTTTTTTTCCCTTCCTTTGAGAATTTCCTTCCTCAAATTTGTATTTCCTCATGAGAATAGTATGACAATTGGTGCTAATTAACTGAACAAAAGCATGCAAGGAATTCTGGTAGATGTAGTTAATAATGCCCTGTATATCAAATGATAAGAGTCTCTCTGGATTCAAGGTTTTTACAGCTGGATCATCCAGCCCCCCCCCCCCCCCCCCCCCCCCCCCATTCCCCGATTTTGATCAACCAAGAGGTTGCCAGAGGTTGTTTTAGGGTTTGATCTATGAGTTAACCATGCCCTGACTTTCATCAGCCCAGAGGTTTCAGGGTTCAATAAGTACTATAAATCAATCCCCTCTAATAACTATGCTCTTCCTTTTGCACAGCAATTTCTAAATGTAACAAGTAATAACTTTTCATGTAATAACTTCAAGCTCCAATCTTTTAGTTAGGATTAAACACTTTTCATCATGACTTACATTTGTATGACTCTGATTCCAACACTTGACAACTGGCTTGGTGTTCAAATTGATCATCTTCACACAGAAAAGAGTTGCAGTAAGCACACAGAAATACTCTTCCTCCTACGCAAATATCAAAAGTAACCAATCAATGTTATTCTTCAATCTTATGTTAGGTCATTGCAGTCATGTTGGTGATATTTAACAGAGATTTCTCATTAGCATCCATTGTTAATAGCACCAGATGGCTGCCATGTCTTTCTCTTTTGACTCTCTTGGGAAAGCTTGCAACCCATCAATAGACCACTTGTTATTCAGGTTTGTTATTCACTAGCTACTAAGTGCTTCCCTTGCAAAACACAGACTATTGAAAAGAAATTGTTTTTATTTAATAATCCCTAATAATTACAGCATACCATGATCCCAGACTACTCTTTTGCATTCAATGCAGTCAGCATCCCTCAAAGGGCATTCACAGGGATGTGTTGTGAGACACTTCTTGCTGTGGCAAATAAAGGCTTCACAAAAATCACAAATTGCACCCTGAATAATGAAATTATAGGAAATTAAGTATGATTTGCAAATTTGTAAATTCCCTAGAGTATTATTTCTTTTTTGGTTGAACAAGAGAAAACACATGAATATGGTTTACACAACTCAAACAAAGAATCTTATTCTCTAGAGTATGATATGAAATAGGTTACTATCAACAGACATCAGTTCCAGCTATAGCTGGGTTTTCAATGGCTTGTAGAATCTTGGTGGTTGTTTTGATCTCTTGTTTTCTGGTTTCATGTCATAGAAATAGTCAAATACGATAGTTTGATGACTTATTTTTACATGTTTTGACTTAACATCTGCTAGTTGCACATCAGGCAACTGCTTGTTTGCCCCCCCCCCCCCCCAGTCAACTCCAAAAAGTCATGTGATTGATAGTAACCAATTGGAGAACATTACACGCAAGGTAAAGAGGTCTAATGTATTATGGCAGGGACCGTCTTACCACATTCCCAAGAGAATGTGAGACAATGTTCTTTCTTGCTAGTTACTTTCTGCACCCAAAAATGCATTTAAGCACCTATGATAAAATTTTGTGCAAATGCATTGGTGATTGAATATTAAAAAGAAATTGAATATTAAAAAGAAAAGAAAAAAAGGAATAAGGAAGGAGTAGAAACAAAATATAATAAAAGCAATATTATTAACATTTAACTTACCACCATATTTAAGCCCACTGCATGAGTACCAACATGTTTTATGACACAATCGCCTGACTTCATTAAACATTTGCTTTTACCTACATACATTTTATAAAAAGTTAAATAAATCAGATAATAAATAAGAAAAATTGAAAAAAAAGGTTTGACTCTAAAAATAATTTAATTCTGGGGTGTTCTTTTCATTTCTGAAGTTCATTTTGTCACAACTGTTAACTTTAAGGGGGGTAGTGTCTGATGTGACCTAGTATTTAAAAATTAAAAGTGGTACTACAGTTTATGCATGAATCTGATCTACTTACCACAGTGGGCACAAACTGTTAGTTTTTGGTAACTATGGCAGAAATAGCAAAATGCTCTGTTTTTCTGTCTCCTAAAAAGGAAAAATGCAGCAATGTTTGTGAAAATTGCGTGCAAAAAACTGAACATTACTGAACTATTTTAAAAACAATGATCACAAAAGTAAACAAAACAATTTTTACCTTTTACATTTGTCACATTCCTTTGATGATGGAAAACAGAAAAAATATTACATTGAAAAGATTAGTAATACGGTTACTGCATGTTATGTGCTAGGGGATCAAGGTTACAGGGTGTATATATAAAGGGTATATACATAAAGGGTATATATATAAAGGGTATATATATAAAGGGTATATATATAAAGGGTATATATAGAGGTCATTGTGAAGCTGTATTTTTTCTCACCCTTATGGGGCACAAAAAAAAATGGCCGCTTTCGCTTGTGAAATTTTCCAGCTGTAATACACAACCAGCAGTGTAATAAATAGTTTATTGTTTAACACAGATAAAAAAAAAAGAGAAAGAGCGTGAATGAAAAACAACCATTTTTTATAGTAATCGAGCAAACTTGAAAGTCAAGAGCTCAAAACACTGACGTGAGCCGCACAAAAGAAAATTTTCTCGCTCTAACATCGGCAAAAAAACTCGTTCAAAACCTGTTCACAGATCGTGTATTATTGTTCTGTAATTGCAGTTGAAAAATGGCCATAGTACACAGGAAATTGAGTGTGTTGTGTTATAAAGCACTAGTATTCACTCTCCTCTGCATGACCTCTGGGGTTTGATTCCTGGACTCGGTATCACATGTGAGTGGAGTTTGTTAGTTCTCTCTGGGTTCTCTGGTTTTCCTCCTTCCAAAAAACTCAACGAACCAAATTCCAATTCGATCTGTGAGTAGGCCTTGCCCTACCTTTGATCAGCCCAGAGGTTGTTTCAGGGTATCAATAGAATTGGAAGTTTTTTCTTTCTCTTTTTCCTTCTTTCTTTTTTTGCGAAATTGAAGATTTGTGATAGCCTATTACTTTGTTTAGATCCCCATCTGTGCTATTACTTCATTACGAGGGAATACCACAAGAAAAAGATAATATTATGATACTGAGATGAATAAAATTCGTACCATCATTGCGTTACAAGGCTTTTCCATGAGCGACCAGTTCGCACCAGCCTGGATGCATTTCTGTCTCGCTTTTTGTTTCTCTGCCTTCTTACGGGCTCCAGTTTTTTTCTTTGGCATCTTCTGTACTGTTTGTTCTTAGTTATTCTGTTATTTTAAGAATCAGAGTGGCAATGAGCATTTTATGATCTCCCAAAATGAAAAGAAAATTCTTTGCCGTTCTTTTTTCGTGGTCAAATGTCAAATCCAGTCAGGCGTTCCGCGCTATCACGTGGATTCATTTTTAGAACGCTGACCAGCTTACACAGAAAAATGTTATCGAAAATATATCATTTGCGTTTTTTCATTTTTAGAAAGGCCCCCAAAACAGACCTTTTCAGTCCAAAATAGGGAAGATGTTTTTAGATTGCGCACAGGCAGCCCAAGCAATGCTTTTGTGTCCAATTTGCATTTACTGTAATTGTATACGTACACAGGCAGCCCAAACAAGGTTCCTGTGTATGGTTTATGAGGGAATGTATGGGAGTTATGATCATTATTTAGAGAGAGAAGAGCGAATTAAAAAGAAAAGAAAAACACTATAAACGGCCCCAAATCACGCTGAAACGTCCCCAGAAGACTGAACAAGGTACGGGCAACGACTGCAGCAAGTTTTCAGTTCCATATTCCATGGTAAACCATACACAGGAACCTTGTTTGGGCTGCCTGTGATGTATTTATTTATTCATTTATTTAGCTTTTACCTCACATCAAATCAAAGTAAAAAGAAAAAAAAAAAGAAGAAAAAAAAAAAAAGAAAAAAAGAAAAAAGAAAAAATATAAACACAAGCAGATGAGAGGCAAGGGATACGGTCACAGGTTTCCCCAATTACGACGGTCCCTTGAATGAAATGACATTAAATTATTGAATATAAGGATGATGTGAATGTAAATAGCCCAGATTGCGAAATAGGGTATTACTAAAATATATTTACTCTGAAGTTACTGCTAAGCTGGATGGATGGATTAATGGGGTGAGATGAGATGGGATAGAATGAAAATCAGTTGAAGGAATGGGATGGGATGGAATGCATGGATGAATGGATGGATGGTTTGAAGGATTGGATGAGATGACTTCTAGAGAGTAGCAATTAATTAACATCATTTATCCAGTTTATTAACAATATATTTTATAATCATTCATAATCACGCATAAAGTCAATAATTTCTAATAATTCATTAGTTTATTAAGTAAGTCAGCTCTAATTGACATGGTTAGTACTGGTTGCCTCGCTCATCCTCCTCAACTGAAAGGCATCAGCGATCCGCCTTTCTCGTCGACATTTAAAAGCGACACGAAATGCGTCTCTAATATGCTTGCTGGAAAACGCGTACACCATGGGATTCAAAATACACGAGCAGTAAACAAGCCAGATAGCGAGCCGGTACACCCACACTGGGGTTTCATAGTAACCACTGCAGTTATTGACGACCATGTAGGGTCCCCACGAAACAAAAAACACAAAAAACAGCACAAGTCCCGTCTTAGCAATCCTGTATTCCCGCGGGATTGTTAGCGTACGGCCTCGAAGTCGCGTAGTTATTTGCGTCAGCACTCGAAACTGCAACATCGAGCTTTGTCTCTTGATTACAGCTTGTCCTGGGATTTTAAGGAAATCTACTTGTGCAGTGTTGCGTCTTTGAGAGGAAGGACTAGCAGTACCCGAGCAAATACTGCGCGATCTTCGTTTAAAGTCGTTGCGCTCGTTTATGTCGACAGTGGAATCAGCATGTGAGAAGCTATCTTGAACAACAGCATTGACAGTAATAACTGGTTTTGGTGGATTGACACTTGGTAAAGGTATACGATACGAGGTAGTAGGTGCAATACCATTCCATGAGGAGAATCTACGCTCGTGTTTACGAATGGCGGCAAATATCATCCAATAGGTCAATATCAGTATTACCAAAGGGATCCCAAATCCTATTAGAGTCATAAAGAAGTAGTATCCACAGTTGCGCTTCCAGTTAGGAGAACAGTGATTACTTCCGGGATGATAGACGTATTCCGCCCACCCAAAGACCGGAAGTGACGCGCAAAACACGGAAATTGTCCAAGAAAAAAGGAGCAGAATGCTAGCTCGTCGAACGGTAAAGATGTTTTTATATTTGACGGGTTTGACTACAGCGTAGTAGCGATCAACACTGATACAACAGAGCGTGGAGATGGATGCTACAAAGAATGTCATACTCAGCATCCCATTGATCTGAAAAACAAGAAAATATCAAATTATTATCGTTTATCATTATCATCATCATCTTCACCATCATCACCATCACCATCATCTTCATTTTCATC